ACACAATAAAATCACATACATTATAGACATAGCCATTCCAAACACTCACAATGTACAAAACACATGCACTGAAAAAATTAGCAAGTACACAGAACTCGCCCAGGAAATAAGGCATCTGTGGAGGATGGATAGGGTAGTTATTGTACCTGTTGTTCTCTCCTGTACAGGTGTGATACCACACACACTACACACAAGCCTGGGAACATTACAATTGAATAGAAATACATACATCACACTACAGAAGGCCACTATATTGAATACATGCCACATTGTTAGGAAATTCCTGAATACAGACACATACACACTTATTTAATTTTAGTTCTTGATTGCTATGCCTTGACTCTGGTCCAGCATAGTACATAGCCACCGGTGTGAACTGAGTATAACTCACTAGACCCAACATAATAATGATACCTAACTATTCTGTAATTGAAATTATCAAGATGGCAAATAATTTCAAAAATTTGAAGTGTTTTTCAGCTAGTTATCATAACTCATTTGATTATTTTTTTAAGCAAACAATTTGTTTGAATAAGTTTCTATTTGTAAATGAAGCTGAAATATAAATAAAACAAAGCATTTGAATAATATTAATCATAAAAATAATCTTTCTAATTGTGTTTTAATCTAACTAGAAAGTTTATAATTTCAAATGAAATTTTTAATGAAATTAATATCAAATGATAGTATTCAAATGAAATTAAGTCAGTAATAATTATTACTTAATAAAAGGTTTTAGTAATAAATTCTTACTGAATACTTCTATAATTTCAACTTTTATTTTGATATAGCAAATGATTTAAACATGTAACAAATTATATAATAATTGTATGCATGAAGGATGGCCAACTAAGACATACTTTGGAGAACTATATTTAAGGAATTAGTGTTGTTAAGAGCTGATAATGAGGCAAACAGAGCATGTCATGATGTCATTATCAGTGTTATTTCTCTAATTATATCTTTGTTAATCAGGTTAAGTTTATTTACTGCATGGACATTGATGCAATGTGATTTATTCACTTTTATTTTTGAAAGGGTATAGTGATGTTATCTAAGCTTTTCATTTAAAATCGTTGAATGTTTAGATATGTTACACTGAGCATTCAATTGTGAATAGAGTTTGAGCCAGAAATTACTCTTAGAGTCACTTCTGGCTCATAAACTATGCTTTGGCCATTATTTGTACAAATCTCCTAAGTTAATCAGTCACTTCAAGTTTAATAATTGTAAGAATATCTGTTTTAATGACTATTATACCAAAAGCTCATCCATTACTAAATTTTAAAAGTTCAAGATCATAAACATCTGTGCCTACTATGTAATAGAATAAGCAGTATGATGTAACAATTGACTACAAACTATTGATTTTTCATAAAGGTGATGCTTAAGCATTGCCTTTATGAAAAATCAATAGTTCGTAGTCAATTCTTGTTATGGATAACGAGAATTATTTCCAAAGTGGGAGTTGTCAAAAAATCAAAGTTGACAGAAAATTCAAGATATTTTAAGTTGATACAAAGAAAATGAAGGAGAAAATAAAAAGTGAGCACTACAAAGTGGACGAAAAATATTTATTAAAAAATTAGACAAATCCAAGAATTTTGCAATCTTCATCATTTGATTTTCCTTCAAGCAATCATCAGGATATGATTCTAAATATTTGAGCAGTGTTTATCAAGTTTTGTAATTAACTTTCAAATAGAAATTTCAGTAATTACATGATTACAAGAAATTATTTATTTAATTTTTTCTGTTTGAATAAAAAAACTTGCCCTTTTTTCCTTATAAGATGCACTGTTGTATTGGATGCATTACATTTTTTATGTCAATTTTTTGGGGGAAAAATATAAAATATCAAATAACATTTATTTTATTTGATATAAATTTTTTTTATTTTTAAACCTTGTTCAGTTCTCTTTGTTTCATTTGCAGGTCAGAGAAATAGAAAAGATTTTCCAAAGAAGACATGAATTACTTAAGAAGCTATTTTGATATCATTTCAATGATTTATAAGTATGTTGTACTTAAATGAATTTAACAATGAAGATAAGTTTTTAATGCAAACAATAGGAATATTCTCTAATTTTCTATAATCATAAAAACATTGGAGTGTAGGAGAAATGAAGAAAGCTGCTGTGCCCCAGGACTTATCAGAAGAATGGGGTCTATGATCAGCAGCTTTTTTCGGACAGGTGGTCATTTATTGTCATCTGGGATTTCCGAGTCCACTCGGCAAACAGTGCTTGCACTGTTGGAAGAAATGCGACAGAGGGAAAATTCACATATTCATTGGTCGGCCATAGAAAGTTTTCTTGTGCATATTCCAAAGGTAGATAAAATACTGATATTTTAAAAAATGTTTACTCATTATGTATATTTTGAATATTTGTTCAGTATAATATTAGTTATAATTTAATGATTAGAAACACTCAAAAGTATTTGATATGAAGTTTTGAAACATCTTTGTATTACAGTATGTTGTTTTCAGATTCTGAATAAATATAAAACTATTATGATTAACATTAATAATAAATTTAATTTCATATTATGATACAGTAGAGCAGCAATTTCTAACCAGGGGTACATGGTTGATGGTTTAGGGGTACACACAAAAGAAAATTAATAATGGCAGATGTAGGCCTACTGTAAGAATACAGTGGAACCCCGGTTAACGAACGTCCTGGTTAACGACCAAATCGGTTAACGAACTATTATTTTGCAAAAATTTTGTCTCGGATAACGAACAAAATTCGGATAACGAACTTAATGGCTTTTTGTGTGAAATTTGTAAGCTTTGACTTTTAGGGAAAGTCAATTAATCGTGTGTTGGTGATGGTCTAGGGTCCATCCGTACGTTGGTGGTGGCGGAGGAGACAAAGATGACAAGTATTTTACAGTAAAAATTGTTTATTAGAACGGGAAGATGCTTACATATTTGAGGTAGTTGGAAATGGCTTATCTACAGTATTTTCTCTCGGCACTGAGGAGTGGCGTATGGCGTATAGTGGTCCTACGATAGCGCAAGCTGATCAGTCGTAGTTCAAGAGCGGACGAGGTGGGTTCGCTTGGTCACAGAAGCGATGGTAGGTGACAGAGCTGCAACGACTGGAGCGGTCCGCGAGACACAACAGAAATTTTAGCGGGCACGACTTCAGGCTTAATCCAAATGAAGACGACACAGATTAATTAATCGCCATAGAATTTTTAGGAAAACTGCGTTTTGACCTTGAGATTTGGGGTTTTTATAGTATTTTTTCCTCGAATCTCACCTTATGATTAGTCCTGCGTCCCATTCCTCGCTTCCCGATTGTTTACTTCTTTGTCTCCAGGTGAAAAACGAAGCAGATCAGGTCACGAGAAAGGTTTGTTCCAAGGCGTTTATTTGACACCTGTCCGTCCACTCTGATCAGAGATTGTTGATAAACCTATAAGTTTCACTCATAATTTAGCCTATTGTTTCTGCTATCTGTCATTTTAAAATTTTAACGATCGTGTGGGATGTTTTTATACCCGTAAAATATTTCCCCTTATCCAAAAATTTAACCTAGATTGACTGTTTATGAGCACGTTTTCCTATATTTTCATTAAAGAAAACCCATTTTACAAATAAAATTACAAAAATACTGACGGCTAGAACGGATTAATTGTATTTGCATTAATTTCTATGGGAAAAATTGCTTCGGTTAACGAACAATTCAGTTAACGAACGGACTCATGGAACGGATTACGTTTGTTAACCGGGGTTCCACTGTATTTGAATTCTGCATTGAGATCTTTGACAACATCATGGCACTTGATGCTTAATTTTAAATAAAAATATATTTATATTTTTATTATATTTATACATATCCTTCCTGTAATGCTTTTTGATTGTAAAAATTTTTTTACATATAATTGTATAATTGATCAAGGTGACACTGTTTGAGGAACATGCAAAATAAAACTTCAAAAATAAGAAATGTGAAATATAACTTGAAAATTGGGCTGCCAAGAGGTGTGCAAGTCAAAAAAGGCTGGGAATTGCTGCAGTAGAGCATTGATTATCCAAAATAATTGAGTTGGACAATTTCAGATAGCTGTTTTTTTTTATAACTGATCACACTTAATAGGAAAAGAATAAAAAGATAAACAACTTAAATAAAGTAAGAATATTAATTTTAGTACTATAGTAAAAAGATTCAGGCAAAGAAATTTAACATACAGTCGACCCCTCTATAACATGCGTTCCTATAATGGAAATTCCTATAACGTAGTGAAAAAATTGTAGCAACATTCATATAAAGGAGCTCCTAAAATGTCGCCGTTGACTCATTTCGTGACAAGATTGATAGAATCTGGACCAATAGTGGATGAGCAGCCGAACTACTTTTCTCCGCCCTGCGCCACGCTACGGAGCGGCTAAATTGAGTTTGCTATCGTCTGTACAGTATTATATATAAATTATATATAAATTAGGTACTGTACATATAATTATATATTAATTATATATAAATTAGGTACTGTATATATAATTATATATTAACTTAATTTATTGTAACTTTATTATAATTATATATATGCTTTCTGCCGCCTGGCAACACGCTACGGAGATTTTAGGCTAGTAAGTTGAGTTTATTATCGTCTGTACAGTATGTAAATTAGGTACCGTAAGTCTAATACAGCACTAATTTTATACATTTCTTGTGAAAGAAACACTTCTTATTCAACGGCCATAAAAATTATTTATATTAATGATGTCTCCAAAGGTCAAGTTATTTTTCTGCGAAAAATTCGTTATCAGAAATCGCGGCTGCCGTTTCGTGTGATTTTCCGCGATGAAAACAAGCTTTGAGCAACGGCGTAGTCAAATGGTGTACACTTGGTAAGTAATCCTACAATTTTTTGTTTATAGCATAGTTTATACAGATTATTCCCAAAAAATTATACATGTTTTGGAAATGTTGAGTGGAATTAGTCTAGAATCGGTTAATTTTATAGAAGAAAACCTTTCAAACAGCCTTAGTCCGTAAACTTCACACGTGTCGGGCTGCAATTGGCTCATGTATTTAATGATTCCTACAACGTAAAATTCGATTAATGTGGAACGTATCTAAGCGTTATAGGGGGGTCTACTGTATAAACAAAAAGAAATAATGGATACATTTCTAATTATTAAAAACAAACATTAGTCTTTCTTTGCAATCTACAATGTACTGATAAAACTTTGAATTCAAAATAAAAAAAATATCTAATAGTAAATTAATATAAAATAAAAATTGCATTCATGTAAAAATTGTTTATCTCAGTTCTTTTTTGAAAGAAGTTACTTATTTTGCCTAGTTTTGCAATTTTTTACAGTCGACTCCCCCTCTATAAGACAGTAGATACGTTCCGTCCTTTATGAATTGATTTCTTACGAGTCCTTGCCAATCACAGCCCGACATGTATGCACTTTACAGATTACAGCTGTTTGAAAAGTTTTCTTCCATAAAATTAATCGATTCTAGATTAATCCGACTCAACATTTCCAAAATACGTATATTTCTTTTGGAAATAATCTGTATAAACTACGCTATAAACAAAAAATTGTAGGATTACTTACCAAGTGTGCACCATTCGACATCGCTGTTGCTCAAGCTTGTTTTCGTCGCAGAACAGCTCAGCAAACCGCGGCCGCGATTTCTGATGTTATTTTTCTGCGAAAACTTCATTGAACTTTGGAGACATCATTAATATAAATAATTTTAATCGCCGTTGAATAAGGAATGTTTCTTTCACACAAAATGTATAAAATTACAGTACTGTATTAGACTTACGGTACCTAATTTACATACTGTACAGATGATAGTTCGCCTAAACTCTCCACAGCGTGGTGCTAGACGGAGGAAAGCATATATATAATTATAATAAAGTTACAATAAATTAATATATAATTATATGTACAGTACCTAATTTATATATAATTATATGTACAGTACAGACGAAACTAAAGTCAATTTACCTGCCTAAACTGTCCGTAGCATGGCGCTGGACGGCGGGAAAGTAGTTCAGCTGCCCGATGATGTTTTACGTAATTATAGGAGTTTTTTTACCGTTGTGTACAGATACCGCCACAATTTTTTCGCCGTCTTATGGGAATCGTAATTATAGGAACCCGTCTTATAGGGGATCTACTGTATTTTTAACTTTGCTAAATCCCTGGCTTGCTTGTGAGAGTTGTAAAATTTGCTTCAGCTACATTTTTAACCATGTCAATGTGCCTAGGCACAGTGAAGCACTTGATATATTAGAAGCTTGTGACTGATTAATTTTGCTTTTCTATTTGTACTGTAATCAGTGGTGATATTCAGCGGGTTCGCACAGGTTCAGCCGAACCCGTTGTTAACATTTTCAAAGTTTTCTGAACCCGTTGTTAACATTTTCAAAGTTTTCTGAACCCGTTGTTAACATTTTCAAAGTTTTCCGAACCCGTTGTTAAACACACAGTGGTTTTGTTTCTTTTAAAAAATGTATTAAAATATACGTATTATACTCTGTAACACTACTAAACTAGAGCCTTATACCCCGTTTGCCTTGGTGCAACCTCCATCGACCGTTTCAATTTCGACTGAAATGAGGTTCAATCGCGATCGACTCGAGAGTTCTTGAAACTAGGTCCAGTCATACAAGAGGTCCCACAATCCCACGCACGCGAGAAAATACAAGATGGCTGCGGAGCACGTGTCGGGCTATCGACAGCTAAATAAAAAAATATTGTATTTCGAGAGACGATGACATCTGTCTATTATTATAATAATACCTAATGATAAAATAAATGATTTAGAAAAGTTTTTTCTTGAGAAAAAGTCATAGGGACAGCAGGTTTAACTGCTTTCCCTATGACTTTTTCTGATTAAAAAAAACCATTTTTTATGTTTATAAAATATTTTGAATGAAAAATATTAAAATATATACAAAATAGTTCTGGCATAAACAATGTTAAACTTTAACTGACTTAATTTTGCGAACGCATCTTTTTTATTTATATGAATATCTTAAGGTCAGTTTTTGCTCTAATGTTGCTAATGCACCATTTGAGCAAAAAAAAATTGTTAAGGAAAAATTTTCTGTCAGCGAACCCTTTGTTAAATATTTCGAATATCACCACTGACTGTAATAAATAAACTTAACACTAATGTTAATCAGAAGATAGCTCAATAGTAGGCTTACAAGAGATTGCTGGTACTGTAAGGTCTCGTTTTATGCGATGGATACGTTCTACAGAAAAGCACATATAAAAAATTCGCATAAAAAAAGACTACTTGGCTTGAAAAAGTAGGAATACGTTCCGTAATTTTCTAAAATCTCATAAAACCAAAACAAAGAGTTAAAATTAACTTAAAACCGCATAAAAAAGTTTGCAGAAATTAAAAAAAATAGGCTGCTTAATAAATTACTTCGAATGTCTGAAAGAAATTCATATAAAAGCTTAAAATAAACTTGTATTCAAACTTAATTCAGTTTATTTTATTGAAAAGTAATATAGTTTTACATTTTTTAATCATTATCGCTATCTGATAATGGTTTGCACCGTTTGCGAAGTGGTTCCAAATCACCTTCATCATCAGAAGAGACTGTCTCTGCAATAGATATTTGCGGTAAAGGTGATGGATTTTCACAAACTTCATTCTCGTTCTGTGTAGCTCTTTCTTTTCTGACAATGTAATCAGTAATTAAACTTTGCGATGATGATTCTACTAATTTTTTATGTAGCTCACGATATCCAGACATGCAGTTCTGCAGCTCACGTTGTAATTTAAAGGCTCATTCAGAATTGGGGTCATTAATAAGAAAATGATTTTCTAATTTACTGCAAAGTTGAAGACCTTCTCGAATTAATTTTGCAGTGAGGGGGGTTGGTTTTTCTTCCTCATCATTATCACCTTCTAGACCTACGACGACATCTAAAGTTAGATCAATAATATCATTGTCACTTAAGGCATCATCCACAAGCAATTCATCTATATCATCATGGCTGAAGGTATTAAAACCATCTCTGCCAATTTCATGTGCCAAAGTAATTATTTCATCTGTTAGTTACTGATATCATTGGTGTTAAATTTCACAGAAGGGCGAGACAAAGGAAATTAAACTTTGAAGCTTTTTCTTCAAAATTAACGCATTTCTTTCCTTTTTTTTTCAGTTTTAAGTATTTTTTTATGTTTAATTACATTTATATCAAAAATTGCTAGGGACTAAAGCGATTAAGGTAGATCTAGCTGTCTTTTACATCCATAAACGTTATATGTCAGTGGAACAAATGGAGTGAGCTTTGAGCGTTCCACGTTTTTGGAGACTGTCTATACGCGGGCTTCCTAAACAAGCCTATATATATATATATATATATATATGTTTGTCCAAGAAATTTTTGGATGAAATACAAACCGCACAACTTCAAAATCACATAAAAATAATCTGCATAAAAAGAGACCTTACAGTAATTGTTATTACATAAAAACTTCATAACTTGTGTAATTAGTACTTTCTTTAGTCAATTTTGGTTAATCAATTTTTCAGATAATTGATTCTCTGCTGTATTTATTATAAAACTGTAATATTACAAAACAAAACTGAACTGTCTACAGAACTCTTCCTAAACTTTTAAAATGAAGTTGTATTTAATTGTATTTTGACATTCAAAACACCGACATGATATCTTAATAACAGATAAAAACCCAATGTAAAAAAATTAAAGCCCTGATTATCACTACTCAATTTTCTTCATATTATCACGTTTATTGAATCTTAATTATATAATGTATGCTAATTTTAAACTTTATTGATGTGAAACAAGAAAGAATTTTTCTATTTACAATATATTATTCATTAATATTAATATACTGTATAATTAAAATATAATATACTTACATTAATATTTCAAATGAGTTCATGTAAAAATTGGAAGTATCTCATCAATAGTTAATATATTGTAGTCATTAGACATATCCCACTAATAGGTGAATGTGAACGCATTTGAATGTCACTCAAGAATGCATCTGTTACACGAGTACAGTAATTATGTAATACTGAAGAGAAATAACTAACACAGTGTGATTTGAAATGCATTTATATTAGAGAAAGAATAATAAAGAAATATGTGTCAAATGTTGGTGTGGTTACTTGGTTTGTTGTGGTTCTAAACAATTGAAATTCAGAATGGAAGATCTGTACCAAAATCACTTGGTTTGTAAATTAAGAAATAAGCAACAGAATATGTTTATAATCTGAATCCCAGTAAAATATTTAAAAAATTGTCATCATTATCCATTACAATATAAATTTTTTTTAATTATAAGTCTCTATATTAGTAATTTGTTGATGATGATATGTAATTTAATCATTTTCTATTTTAATTTCAAAATTTCATGATAATATGTAAAATGTTTATAACTTAATTTGTATTTTAAATATTTATTATTTTGGATATTTTAAGAATAATCAGTTGAAATTTTTAATTAATTAACTTTTAAGTTGTATTAATATCTAAATTATTATATATTTCAGGGAGAAAATATTCTTGCTGTAACTGCTCCAGATGGTTATAATTTATTGCAAAGAGCCATTGGTTTTAATTGTGTAGAATTAGTACGTTGGATCTTAAATCGAGGCTGCGATGTTAACAGAGGTGGATGCAGCCTTCCTTTACATATTGCAGCATTACATGGAACGGAAGAGATAGTTGAATTATTGTTGAAACATGGAGCTCGAGTTGATTTGGAAGCTCGTATGTGCTTTCCAGGTCCACATAATCAGATATGTGAAATGAGAAGCGTGTTGTCATCAAACACTACTGTAGATCGTTCTTCTGAAAGGTTACAGTCAGCAGAGTATTATGCAATTGATGGGGATCAAGCAGAAATTCTTGAATTACTTTTAGCACAAGGTGAAGATAATTGGTTGCCATGGCAACAAAAACGTCCTCTTCTTCATTTAGCATGTGAGCGTGGGGCATGGAATTGTGTAAAGTATCTGGTTGCTGAACGGTCAGAAGAAATTAATCAATGTTATGATGAGTATTACCCTATTCATCAAGCTGCATTGCAAGATTTAAAATTCTTAGAGTTGTTAATTCAATGTGGTGCAGATGTCACTGTAAAGACAGCCACACAGCAGATGACAGTATTACATGTTGTGTTGTTACTTGGAAAGAAATCTGCTGAAGAAACATCGTGCACCTTAAAACTTCTATTAGATCATGGTTGTCGAAAATTTATAAATGAACCTGATAGTTTAAGTAATACACCTTTACATGGTTTAATTGTGCGCTATGCTTTAGAAGAAAGTAGATATGGTTATGTTAATGAACCTCGTCCATGGAATAAATGGGATATGTTGCATTTAGTAAGATATTTACTTTATAATGGCTCTAGACCAAGTATTAATCATCGTGGAAATAGTGCACTTGCCTGTGTATTGAGACATGTTAGAGACTGGGAATTTCGTTATGAATTGTTAGATATGCTGCTTCAGAATGGAGGAAATCCCAATTGTGTTGGCAGAGATGGTTCAGTACCATTAATGGTATGTCTTGTTCCTTTAATAAACAAGGATCCACTTCATCGGCTGACACACAGCAAGAAAGTATTTTATTTGAATTCTGTACGTTTATTATGTAAGCATGGTGCCAACCCAAATTGTTCTTCAATAAGTAATTTAACTCCTTTACATGTACTAGTCTTTACTGCAAGTGAATATATTACTCTTAATCGTGAAGAAGAAAAAAGTAATGCTTTTGCTTTTATTCGTCAGTTGTTAATTATACTATTACAACATGGACTTGATCCAAATGTGAGGTTTTCTCAGAGGACGCAACACATTTTGTTAGCATTAATGGATATGGTCCAAAATGCTCGAATGCCCAGTGATCTAGATTATGTATATGATCTCACTTTGACATTATTACAATATGGAGCAAATCCAAATACTAGCGTAATCACTACCGAGCCAATGATATGTCATTCCCAAAGTTCAGTCTTCCTGAAAAAGTCATGTCATCAGGTATGTATAAAATTATTTCAAAATATTTGATTTATCTATTTTATTAAAAAAATATAATCCATAATGAATATATTAATACTACTATGCATATGTAGCTAGAACTATTTCTAAGACTAACAGCACAAAACCTTTCTCACTAATTTCTAGCCTTATTAACTGGAGTACAAACATTTTCGGCCTTCTTAATAGGCCTTCCTCGGGTACATTGCGGAGCGTCGGTTAGAAGAAGTTTAAATGCTGCCCAGGTGTCGTCTTACCCGTGACGTCTTCGTCGATGATAGGTATACGATACCGAGGGAGAAAAACTACATACTTTTGGTAAAGAAGGGAGGTGTGCAGATAGGATACTTGCTAAAGTTGGGGAAAAAGATTTTAGAGTAAGCGCGCTACGTACAGGAGATGCACAATCACCACAGGGGGTTAGTGGGGAGTGACGTCATAGTTGAGGCCGTAAATATTCAACGCTACCGTAAGAAGAGGCGTGCGAACGACCGTGGATGGGAAGGGGGGGT